GGGCTTCTTTCTTCACAGCAAATCTTGCTCCAGGAGTGATAGTGTTGTCGCCGCTATAAAATATAGTGTAGTCTTTTGTATTCAGGATGTCTGCATTTTGCCCATTGAATTTCTTGCAATGCAGCAACAGAAATTTTATATTTAATTAGTTGATCTATTAGGTTGGCTAAGGCTAATGTTCGAAAAAAGGCTTAGTACGTTCTAAGTCGCAATCCAAAAATCATGTCCATATCCAGGTATAGGTTGATTTTCATTGGATTCAGTCCAAGTTTTATTTTGTTGTTATTTGTTACATGGTCGGGTCGTTTGGCATGCGCACAGCCGTCGGGGGCGCGAGACCGGGGGGGGGGGTGCTTTTGCCCCTCACAGCTCTCTTCTTCTTCTTCTATATCTTAAGGGCCCACGATCAATTTTTTGATCATTTTGGCTCCTATGCATGTAGATGGGATTTGCAATGTTTCTGTTACTGGTGGTGATGAGGAAATTATGCACTAGGGGTTTGAAGGCTTAAGGCAATAGACACAAATGTGTCTAGTGTTGTCGCCTCAACTGTTCCTTTTGAAAGATGGTTCCAGTCCCTGATTGTCTTGGGCAGGAACGAGCAGCTCCTATACTGGCTTCTTGCTGGTATGAGCCTGAATTGCCTGTCATGGCCTCGTCGCTGTCTATGGGGGAGAGGGACGAGTTTCTGTTTAATACTGGAACAGTGGACCAGCCCATTATTTATCTTGTACATCATGGAGAGCCTGGATTGTCGTCGTCGTTTCTCCAATGGTGACCAGCCTAGTGTTTCTAGCATGCTGCCAACACTAGAGGTATTCCTGTAGCGGTTTAGGACAAAGCGTGCTGCTCGTCGCTGGACCGCCTCCAACCTGTCAATGCTCTTCTGGGTAAATGGGTCCCAGACTGAAGATGCATAATCTAAAATCGGACGGATAAAGGCTTTATATGCTCTTTCTTTCACACAGGAGTTGCCAATCTTTAGATTTCGCCTTAAGAACCCCAAGGCTTGGTTTGCTTGGTTACATACATTGTTAATATGCTCGTCCCAGCGGACCTCTCTTTGAATGGTAACACCCAGGTACTTTACGGAGGAAACTTGCTCAAGAATATGGCCGTGCAGTTTGTATTGGTAGTGTAGAGGAGTACAACTTCTAGAGATTGATAGTGTCTGGCACTTGGCAGGGTGAAATTCCATGTCCCAGCTCATCTCCCACTCAGCTAACAGATTGAGATCCTGTTGTAGCTGGTCCTGGTCAGATCTGTTGGCGATCGTCCTATACACTGCTGTGTCATCTGCAAACAGTCTTGCCTGTGATGTCAGTTTCTCCGGTAGGTCATTAATGTATGCTAGGAACAAACAGGGGCCCAGGACTGATCCCTGGGGGACCCCTGACTTCACATTGACAAAGGAGGAGCTTGTACCGCCCACCACTACTGCTTGGTATCTCTAGATAGCTGCCTTAATTTTCGGGTGGATCCATTAACTTTCTACAAGGCAATAGCTTCTGATTTTGGTCCACCCTGTGTATTTTATTTCTCGAGTACCCACCATACATGGTGGACTTTCCCTTATCCGCCACCTGGGTAGGCGCTCGATGGAAGATCAGTTACCTCTACACAGGCGAGGCTTGACCTGCCTGTTTTTATATTATTAAATTGTAATGTGGCTTTTAAAATAATTATAAGTATTTATGGGGTTAACTTCTTAATTAATATATGAATTCTAAAAATCCTTCCAAAAAAGAAAAGGTTTCCCATTACAAAAAAGAACCGCTCACATCATTTTTGATGTTGAACGCAAAAGAAAAAAACTTACTTATTATAATTACCGTTTCATTAGCAATTAATTTTAAAATGTTTTAAAAATGAAAATTTCGTAGTTTAAAAAAAAATTTAAAAAAAAATATATATTTTTTTTATTGTTGTAGACATTTTTCTCTTGAACTAGTAGATCTATATTTATTAAAATAAAACGAAACGATGCTTGAACAAAAAATCTGATATCAGAATTAATAACGAAACATCTAAAGCCCAGTTTTAATATTTGTTTCTCTCATTCCTTGAATAGCTGTATAATGAAATAAAACTTTCTTCAAAAATAGTTATAATATTAAGAAATATTAAGTCTCTCTTCTTATTTTTTAAATATTTTTTCTTGTTAGAAACTATAATTATATTTAACACGTCCATTTGTATCATAGTTTTTGCATTCATTATGATTTTTTAAAATTATTATTATTTGTTTGAAGGGCAAAATATGCATTTATGTGATACATTAACTTAAATAATTATAATGTTTTTTTTTTATTTTCAATATAATTTACTTTTAAATGATCTGTTATTTCATTATCCCAATAATGATAATTAGATCTATATGAGTGATTATGTGTAAAAATTCTGCGTTGGTTTGAAATTAACGTTTTACAACAATATTTGTGAATATGGACATTTGATTGTCTCCTCTTGTGTTGTTTCGAATGTCGTATTTATTATACAAACTTTGATCTCAGTAGGTTACGCTCCTCTATGGGAGAGGTCAACGCGTCACTACGACAATGAAGCGTACTGTGCAAGTATGACTGCTAGAACTTGACTTTTGTCAAGAGGGAAAGTCCTATTTAGATATAGTACTTTAATTTGCTGAAAATGTTCAAAAGTTTGTTATCAATATTATAATTGAATAGTCAACAGTGTTAATTTTTTTTTACAATAATCGTTTTTATTACTAAGATTCATAGTGATATCCCGAATTAAATACCAATCCATAGTTTCAAAACAATACCTTTGTCAGTAAGTTTAATCACAATATTGTAACTTATAGACAATGTCTTCGCACAACTTATGAAGCCCCAACTGCCAATTTTTCGGTTGTGTTGTGTGCCCCTTGCTTTCAAAGTTGAGTCCTATCATAATTACAGACTAGGGCCGTCTTTACAACAGCGAAGGCCCTGAGCACAGTAATGTACCGAGGCCCTTAACCTTCCATACACTTTAGGCCGTGCGAAGAAGGGGGCGAAAGAGCCAATCACCCCTGGCGCCAATATCAGGGGACAGCAAAATCGTCATAAGATATGCTCTTAAAAGGGAATTGAACAATACAATCCCATGTACTTAACATGGACAGGGGACAGCAAAATCGTCATAAGATATGCCCTTAATAGGGAATTGAACAATACAATCCCATGTAGGCTACTTAACATAGACAGGGGAGGCAAAAATCGTCTTAATAGTGCACCCTGGGTACCACTTTTCTCTGAGTATGGCTATCTATAACCTAATATTGAAGTAATTTTTTAAAAAGCATTATGGCCTAGGTGGTTTGACTAATTTCTTTCAGGCAATTTTTCCGCGGTTTTTTTTTTTTGTGGGGGGGGGGGGGAGGGGAGAGCATGATGCCTCTAAAAGAGTGAGTCTCATAGAAGCGTGAGGCCCCCATAGAAGCGTGAGACCCCGAGCCAGTGCCCAGTGGGCCCATGCGTTAAGACAGCACTGTTACTGACAACTCAGCACTTTTGACAAACAACATTGCATTACGACAATGCATGGGCAATAGGGATTTCTTTAAAACTGATGAATTATTCAATTGAGTAATTGTGATCACCTTTATTGACAATGAGATTAGGATAATGGAAGATTCTGGTGGTATCTGGGTCAGAAAGAGGTATTTAACGAGTTTTTTTAAAAATATATTTTTAATAAGTAAAGTTAATAGATGGTTGAAATCAGCTTAGAGAGTTTGTACATTTCTGTCGTTAATTTATTTCCTCGGTGGTCATGTCCATGCCATCATCAATGTGTCTGTCGTCGTACAATTCTGTGATGGTAAATTATATACAAGATATAAAGTAATATTTTCTTTGTGGCTCCAAAGCTAAAGCAGAGTCTACATTACAGCCCACTAGTCAAATCTTCTTGGTATCTTTATTCTTTTTCTTTTACGTGCCGGGATAAGTGCTTTTATGGATTTACTCTCCTTATATCTATTATTTACATAGATACACGACCGAACAATAACTCATGTATGCGACGATAAATCACGTGGAGGTGCATTAATTATGTATATTTTAACAAACTGACAAGAGGAAATCGTTCGACTGTATGACAGCAAGCAATTGGGTTACGTCTCTCGTCAATTTATAAGTCTATCTTTGATATGTCATAAAACAATTTTGGGTAAAAATAGTCCTAAAAAACCGCAAATTCAGTCTGCTACCAAACCTTTTACTTTTAGAGTCAATGGGATAGTTTCATCTAATCATGATGTCTTTCTCTATTTTCTGTACATGTGCAACTGTTTTGGTAATACATTGTCTCGTCCTATTTGGTTTAAAAAAAGAAAAAAAAATCTTTTTGGGGAATTATATCCAGGTTGATTTTTAATGTTTTAGTATCCATCGTACTCATCCATGCATGAATTCATCCAATGTTAACCTTCAGAGAAACACAATCTTTGTTTAAGCAACCCCAGTTCGAAATGTAAAAGCTAATTTCACCTCGTGCTATGGTGCTCGAGGGATAGATAAATAGATGATAGGTAAATAGATAGATAGATAGATAGACAGATAGATAGATAGATGATAGATAGATGATAGATAGATGACAGACAGACAGACAGACAGACAGATAGATAGATAGATAGATAGATAGATAGATAGATGCATACATACACACACACAGACAGACACACACAGAGACACATACACACAGACAGACACACAGAGACATACACACACAGACAGACACAGACACACACAGACATACACACACAGACACACGCACGCACACACATCGTGGAACCATTTTTATAGTCTAAAGTCATGGGATAAAAATAATCCATTCTGTCTAATTGTTTTTTCAATGCCTTTTTGCCTAGTGGTAACAGACAGTGATGATAACTTATTACAGGGAACTGTTTCAAGTTTTTAACTTGTTCACAATACAGAGTATGATGACACTCCTCAAACTTACACTAATCAAGATAAAACAAAACTAGGTCAGAAATTAATACATTTATTTATGGACTAATAATTTGGATGGAGTCTTCATTAAAAAAAAACAAGTTTCATTTACAATATAAATGTGGACGGACGACTTTACAAAATGTAAATTTGGATCGAACAGTTATTTTAAGCATGACATAGTGTGATCAAACACTCACATAATCAACAAAGATAGATTTAAAAATGCTAGAACTTTACATCATCCATAACTCAGAAACAAAAACATCCACATATTTCGAGGTAGGCTACTTATTCATTTTACTTCTGTGTTTATTATGCAGTTTGGTGTATTGTTACTTTTCTTTTCCAACAATTAGACTTTTATAATTTCTGATAAAGCTGTTAATCTTCTTGAACTGGCAAATTAGAAACTTTGTTGATTTTACAAACGGTGGTGTGTGGGAAGTTTCCTGCATCATACAAATAATGCCTTTCTTTTCCAATATACATATAATTAAATTCAACATGCAGTAAGTTCCCAGCCAATATTTTATAATCTATTCATGACCCTAGACTAGCATGTATGCTTTGGGACATATTACTCAAGCTGAGGCAATCAAATTTACACATTCACAAATAATGTTGTAAAATGTTACTACAAACGTAGAGCTCAAATTTTAACACATAAAAACATTTTAGTATCATTATTTTGATAATGAAACAACAGAGAATTAAAAAAAATAATTTATTATAATGAAATTAAAAAAAACATTATAATTACGTAAGTTCATGTATCACAGAAATGCATATTTTGTCTTTCAAGAAAAATAAAAAAATTAATTATTATGTATTCAAAACTCTGATACAAATGGACGTGGTAAATATAATTATAGTTTCTAAGAAAAAATTTCTGGGCAAAATAAAGACTTTATATTTATAAATATTATAACTATTGTTGAAGGAATTCATTATACAGCTATTCAAGGAATGAGAGAAACAAAACCTAAAACTGAGCTCTAGATTTTCCCCTATTAATTCTAATTGCAGGTTATTTGTCAAGCAAAGTTAAGTTTAGTTTTATTTTAATAAATATAAAAGTGTAACAAAATTAAGTGACTTCTATTTGAATATTTAAAGTCAGTCTCGAAAGCATCTTATTAAATGTGGTAAAATTTGTATACATCTAACTAAATACTATTAATTAAGCAATTTATGCTAGTTCCTAGGACCTGAATTAAAAAATCTGGTCAGACACAGGCATAATTTAACAAGGTTAAACATCTAAAGCTACAGTCACATGACCAGAGTACCCGGTATAATGGCAGTTCAACTATTTACACTGAATACATTTAAATAACCATCATCTGCTGCTGCTAGAGCCCAGGAATGTCCAGGGACACACCAAACTGCAGTGACACCTGCTTCAACTTCTCCTCCAACAACACATTTCTCTGGACACTTTGTTTGTAGTTGTACTTGAGGTCTTCGATTTCTTCAAAAAAATCTGGACCGAAATTGCCTAGTTCTTTCTTCAGCTGAGGTGGGAAAAAAAAAAGTTTCATTTTTCATTCATATCTATGGATTTAGATTTCATTTAGCAACAAAAGCTTTGAGGCTTCCAGAAAAAAAATTATTATTTTATTTTAATAAATAAACATTGTTCCATGTCCATAGCTATAGAGGTTCTACGAAAAGTAACATTTATTTAATGTTTTTAATGTTGTGAAAAATTCTTAATTATCTTATTAGCAAATGGCACACATGTTCACAGCAGAGTGATTTTAACACAATTGTTCTCGTTATTCATTATTCCTCATTTGTATAATTTAACCCTGTTTAATTTAATGCTTCACCTTGTCAACTTCTCTTTTCAGTTTTTCCTTCTCAAGTTCCACTGACTTCAGCTCCATGTGAATTTCTATATTTTCTCTCGTTATTCTGTCGTAGTTGCTGGCTTTGGTTAAAATGTCATCAGTAATCTTAAGGAGTTTAATAAAAAACATTTCAGCTTCAAAGTTCAACAAATACTGGATGGATGTAAGCAGAACTTTAAAGATCAGCCAAATTATTTACAGATATGAACATTATGTTATCAGTGAACAAACTTTGTCAAGATAGCTTTCAAAACAGGGTCAAATGTTCCATCACACTTCCCTTTCAATAGGATTGATTTTTCTAAATTCTTAAAAATTTAAATGTTTCAGAAATACAAGTTATAACTATGACACCACATTTCTTTGTTACAGACGTTGTAGAATTACTTCAAGATGATGACCACAAATATGAAAATAATAATCTAGTCAAAGTTTCAGGCACAAATATTTTTGAATGTTAATTCACAGGAAACATACCTGTGGAGATTCACCTGTACCTGAAGACTGCTGTCGAGCAATGCGAAGCTCACTGAGGAGCTCTTTCTTTTCATTTTCAAGACGATCGATGCGAACCCTAAAAATGGGAAACGATTCAAAAATATAAATGAGATCTTTGTCGAAAAAGATGCCCAACTGTTTAAAATTTCTGAATGTAATTTTTTACATTCTTGGAATCAAATGTAGCTGTCTGTCTATTCTTGGATGTAGTTAAAAGTTTAATGTAAAAAAAAAAATAAAAGGTAAAAAAAGTTAGTTTTCATAAAGCTATTTCCTAAAAGTGAACAAATTTTCATCTGTATTATTTTTTAAAGGCAAGGATGCCTGATGAAACACCAAGGGACTGTATTTTTCAGGGTCATTTATAATGCAAATATTTTACCTGCTCTGTTGGTAGTCTTTCATCATGTTACTGTCAACAGCTCCGCTGCCAGAAGGGAATCTTTCCAGGATGGCAATCTATTCAAAATTATTTAAAAAATCAGTTTTCACAATGTGATAAGTTACTCACAACTTGGATCTGTTTTTCTCTTTCATTTCTGAATATTTGTCAACACAGCTGTAATTTATCTGGCAAGATTACTGTCTTATTGCCAAGATGGCCCAGCACTTCCAACTCGCTCAAGCAATATAATTTTATCCATTCCATTTATCTATTAACCTATAAAACTTGGTACAACCATGAGCAAATAAAACCCATGACCCCTTTGTTGTGAGACAGATACTGTTAATATAGTGCAACAGGGCCATCATACAACTAAAATTTGCATGTCTATCATGGAACTGACACACACATGAAAACAAATGAACTAACTTTCAAAAATTTTCTCTGTATTGTAGGTCACCTTAGGTTTGAGATCTTTATGAAATACCAGACGCCTTCATTTAGTAACCCACAGTTGATTTACTCTTCTAGATTGATTCTTTCAAGTTCTTGATGTCATTACATGTTTGACTGATTACAGTGGTTAGGTGTGGCTGTCAAATAGACATACATTTACCTGTACTGAAATTTTACTATACCTTTTGCAGGAGATCCTCTTTTTCTCTGATCAAGTTTTGTTCTCTCTCTGCGGCATCTCTCAGCAACGTTCTGTTATCTTTCACTTGTTTGCCCTGTTTAAAAAAACAGAATAAAAAAAAGAAGAGGCCAATTATCAGTTAGGTTTTTAGATAAGCCTCATTATAACTTGCATTGTTTCAGGCATCGTTAGAAGTAACTTACAGTTCTCACTATTATAATTACACCTCCAATCAGAAAACACCATTTAAAAAAAAATGACACAATGACAAGTTTAACAAAAGGATAATAAAATTAAATAAAATAATATTATAATAAACAACAAATAATGTAATCCACAAATAATACTATAGTCATAAAAATATATAAAAGATACAGTTTGAAAGGCAACCTCATACCTTTTTCTCCAGGTCAACCTCCATTGCTTTAATTTTCTCCTCATACATTCTGGTCTGTACAGCAGACTTCCATCCCTGGGAGTCAAGAGTTGCCAGACTTGGTTTCTTGGCTGACTCCACCTCCAGTTTGGTCTTAGTGGTCCTCAGTTCTTTGTCCTGATGCTCCCCTTGTACTTCCAGTGTTCGGATCTTCATTCTCAGCTTTTCATTTTCATCTTTTTCCTTTAACAAATTTATCAATGACACAATAGCAAAGTCTTAAAGAATAACTCTGTAGCTTTTGCAAGACTTTGCTTTTCTTTAAGTATTCTATTAATTTCAACTTAAAAGTTTGTTCTCCAACCAAGCTAACTGGAGTAAAATATTTAAGCATAAAAATAAGTTTAAAAAAAAAGCTTGTTATGAAATAATTCTTTAAAAAGCTGGAATTGATTAAAATTGATAAGAAAACCTTGAGTTTCGTTTAAATCTAAATCTTCCTAAGCATGTCTGATGAGAAAGATACACAGAAATTCGATCTTAAACAATAAATTATTTCTGCCATTTTCCGTTTTTAAAAAAGCGTATATGATAGCAAATTTCTTCCCCCTCGCCCCCCCCCCCCTTCTTTTTTCTTCTTCTCCTCTTCTTACTTTGGCCAATTCTTTTCTCATCTTGTCAAAGTCAGTCACCATCTTGGCTGTCCCTTTCTGTTGTGCTGTGTATCTGTCACTCAGCTCAAGCCCCATGGCTTGTCTCATCTCCTCCATCTGGTGCTGGGAATAAAGTAAAGACGATTTCCATTTTTACTCCTTTTTTTAAAAACAATTACATCTCTGTTATTACTCTATTTACATGTGTTGTTGATAACAAAATATTCTGTTGAGCGCTTGACATTAGCCAATTATTATATAAGAGTTTATTCATCCATACATCACGCAGGGGTTACAAGTTATGCTGTTGTACCTTGAGCCCATCATTTTCTCGTTTTAACAAGTTCATCTGCTCCTGACTAACAACACCGGGGGCTTTCTTTAACGCTGTGTTCTCCGCTTGGACCCTCTCTACCACCTTCTTCAGCAGGGCTATCGTCTTCTCTAACTCTCGCTGGCTCTTTCCGCTTTCTCCAATCTGAAATCAACGTTTGAAAAGTTTCAACTGAGAAATATTTTTTTTAAAAAACAACCAAAGCAAGAGGCTGGTGGACAGACATGTTTCTCTGGGTTCTATCAGAAAAAACCATACTCTTTTAATGCTTGGCGTCACAAGGATGTACACACATGTTTCTCTGGGTTGTGACGTCTTTTATTAGATGAAAAAACTTACTCTTTTAATGCTCGACAAACTGGATCTCGCAGAGTCCCCAGCCAGCTGGCCATTTTCAAACTTTAGAGCATCCACATAACTTTGCAGGTCTTCAATTCTTTCCTGTTAAAGGAGTTGTAGAGAACACTCAAATATCATAATTTTAATTGAAATGCTTAAATATACATTTTTATATTTACACTCAACTGTCATTAGCACCAGCTATAGCCTCCCGAATTTACAGGCAGCGGTAAGTCAGGCTGACAGTCACATAAGATGCTATAAAAATTTACTTGCAAGTCAAGCTTTTTTAAAAACTTGATAGAATGTGGTGTCATCGGCAAACAAGTTTCTGTGCCATGTTTCAGCTTGACAGGTTGACGGGAAGTGGGTCAATTACTTCAGAAGATTTTTCCACACACACAGCCAGAAAAAAAGAAATACACAAACAAAAGCAAAGTTAATAATGGGTTTGAAACTACCTTGAGTCTTGGAATGTCTTTACGTGATCCCTCCACCTCAAATCTCAGCTCCATATTTTCCTCAGTCATTCTCAGAACTTCCCTCTGTAAATCCTGGTTCTTAGCAAACAACTTTTGGTATTCAGCGGCAGGCACACCAGAATCCTGGCAAACATAAAATAAACTAAGTGACTTTTCATCTTCTCATTGGGGGGCCACCGATAAATGATGTCACACTATTTTGGCAATTTTTTTACCCCTCCCAACCCCAAATTGTCACAAATTTGTAAGAAATACTAAGTCATGACCCCTCCCCAGATGGGTGACATTGTTTATTGATGGCCTCCGACCAGCCAGTCTCAGGAATACCATATGGTAAGAATATTCTTTCGAGGGCATATAACAAAGTATGCCAAGTCATGTTAAAATATTTAATCATGCACATCTTTTGGCAAATATATACTTATGATATACAATTAGAATACTGTTATATAAAAAGAGAGTCTCCTGTCTTACAGGGGGTCTGGCTGCCATTGCTCTCTCCATTTGCTCCAGTTGCTCCCGTAGGTGTTGGTTCCTCAGCTGAACTTCAGCAAAGGCAGCATCCTGGCTCATCATGGCCTGACGTTTTAAATTCTGGATCTGTGTGAATCAATTTCGATCATCATTCAATAGAGTAGAAAATTGTTTTGCTGCAGATTCCTCTACTATTTTGATTATTTTATCAATGAGGTATTTATTGTAAGTAAGGAGAACAAAACAAAACTGCTTAAACAAAGTTAAAAGAAAACAATGGAAAAAAAATATGTTCCTTTAAGATTTAAACATAAAAATATTGTTCAAATAAATAAAGCCTTATCTAGCACATTATTAAAAAAACATTCATATGATGTAAAGACAGAGCCACAACTAAAATGTAATGAGGTTTAGTGCTTTTTTGAATCTCTCCACCTTGAAAACTAAAATGCTATACTTTTGAGATTCCTCTAATAATAATAATAGGGAAGAGAATTATTTTTAAAAAAGATAAGAACGTCAACTTAAGAAAAGTGCACTAACTTCTTCCTGCTGCCTGTAAACGGTTGTCTTGAGATCTTCCCTCTCATGATCCAATCTGCCACTAGGTGGCACTGCTCCTAATGTGTGAGATGATGTTTTCTGTAGGGGACGAACCTGGATCTCTTTCTCACGGTTGGTTCTAATCAAGACATAAACCATTGCAATTCTAAATAACGCGAGAGATCGGCAACAAAATTTGAATACAAAAAGAATTTCAGTAACTAAGGGACCTTCCATGAAATAAGTAACCAATGATGGGGGTTGTTAAACTCCAAACTTATTTATAAAAACATCAAAAGTGTGTGTGTGTGTTTGTAGGGTTAATTTCTGTATACCCCAATATTGTCATAAGCCTGACTAAATTAACAGCTTAGTAGTAAAGAAATAATACAAGCTGACAAGAAAGCAAGAAACTTTAATTTAAAAAATCAACTACCAGTCAGTGAAAGCAAACCTTGATGTGTCTCCAAGCCTTACAGAATATCTGCACATTCATATTTTAACTACTGCAGCACAAACAACAAGATATTGTAAGAAACCAAGTAACTTTGCAACTAGAACATGCTGTGTAGACTTGTCTTCTTGTTCTACACACAACACACCAGAATAAAACAAGCTTGGACAAGGAAGAAGGACAGGGAAAATAGAAACCTTTGAACTTTGACCTCGAAGAAAATCAATACATGGTATCTATACTTTATAGTGGCTCTAGTATACCTGTGTCAGGGAAAATCCATAATTATTGATCAGGACTTGGGAATGAAACTGGGTCAAAGGTTAAACATAGGTCTAGCTTTTGAAAGAATGAGGCTCTTGAAGTGAAGTATTTAACAAAATAAACCATTTCTTTAACAATGATAAAACACAAACAAAACCTTATAATATGATGAAACAGGAATTATGCTCAAGTTGAACAAAAATGTACATTTTGATTTGAAACAAATAATTGTTGTTTTATCAATGAGTACTCAGTTGACCTGATATGACCTGATACAAGTCTTTTGATAAGATTCACTTTAAATCTAGTAACTAACATCAACTTACCACAAATGAAAAAGTTGGTAAAATGATAGAAAAACTTAAATGAGTTCTCTTAAAGCATAGTAGACACAGTCATTAAAAAGAAGATAGGAGATTGGTCACATTTGTATGATTAGTCAGCTGTTAATAACAAACTGTATCATCAATATTGGAAAATTTATAATCCAAAAAAATGACATCAATCAAAGTGTGTGGACAGAAGAAACCTCACCTCAACAGATAAACATTAAAGCTTAGAGCTGAACTGTTGCTGTTCTTTTGCTCTATATACTTAAGCACCACAACAGACCAACCTTTCTAGAGTGGCCTTCAGCCTGTTGATGGTACCATTCAAATTCTCAATCTCCACATCTTTTTCTTTGATCTTCAGCTTCATTTTTTCAATGGTCCTCTGCCACTTCTTGCTCTCCTCCCAGCGGATAGTGTCTTCATTCTTTAAGGTGAGGAAGAAACGGGGATTTATTAACATTATACTCAAGTTAGGGGAGTCCAGTTTTCAAATTGTACAAAGTCATGGATTAGGACAGAGTTGTTTATCATTCATGTCTGGGACTTAAAACAATTCAAGTGGGATACTATGTAGTTAATTATGCTGTTTATAACACAAAATTAGATTAATTCCAAAAAAATAAAAAGGTTTATTGCATACTTAAATGTTTGGGGCCCAAATATGATTCTCCCCAAAAAAGTACTTGCAGCTTTTTACACTTTAATTTCATGACTTAAAATATTTGATTTAATTGAAAAAATTCATTTTTAATTTACATCTCAACAAACTCTATTCATCTAAAGACGAGTGTGAGGCCAGTGTCCCAAAGCTCCCATGAGAAGACATTAACAAGAATTATATGGACAATGTCCCAAAGATCCCATAAGGAGACATTACCAAAAATTATATGAGGTCAATGTCCCAAAGCTCCCATGGGAAGACATTACCAAGAATTATATGGACAATGTCCCAAAGATCCCATGAGGAGACATTACCAAGAATTATATGAGGACAATGTCCAAAGGGTTGCTAGAGAACTACACAACACGTCATACAGGGTTATCGTTTCATGTGCCATTGCTCCAACAACATTTAAATAATTTTTTAACTGCATCAACAAAAGAAAACAGCATTAGATTGTATAAATAGTGATAAGTCCTCAGAAGAATGTCAACAATGAATGAAATCTTATATGTAGATCATAGATATTAATTTTTTTTTCATAAATGTAGAGGAAAAGTTCTGCTACTGTTATTTGAAGAACTAGTCTACTTCTTTTGTCAGGACTGACCTTTGTTCTTTCTTCCTTCTGCTCGTACGGCTTCTCTGCCGCATGCTGTCTACTCAGCTGTTCTTCTAGAGCTCGACATTTTCGTCTCATGTCATCAAGCTCCTGCTGTTTCTCAAAGTCCCCAGTTTTCTTTAAAGAATAAAAAAATTCAGGGTTTGCACTATAAAAAGGTCCTCAAGGGACCTCCATTACTAACTGACATGTTCAGTTGAGTGATATGAAATGGTGGAGAGGAAACATTAGTTTTTTAAAAACCCAATAGAAACTTGCAAGAAAAAAATATTTATATCATGTTTTCAAAAAAAGCAACACAATTTAGAATTAATTCTTTGGGGTGGTGGGGTGTGGTGGTGCTGAAGGAATTATCGCAACTGGTTATCAATGACAAATATTTAAACTTTTTAAAACAAGCTTTCAAGTTTTGCATCATTTATATTTTTTTAAATCTGACACCTCACGCCAAAGTGATTCTAACCACTACAATAACCATGCCAACCACTATCACAACCATGTCAACTACTGCCACAACCGAGCCAACCACTCACCAGTGACCTTGCTGCACTAATCTTCTCCAACTTCTTCTCCAAATCATCTACTTCCTGTTCTAGCCGGGTCTTGGTGGCTTTCAGTTTGTCCACTGTTCTCTCTTTCTTATCTGATGACAAAACAGAAGTAAAACTCTAGATGTCAACTATCATAATAGAATGAGAGACATTCGTAATGTAAGTAAAGAGTTTTATTGACAATAGCATTATATACGCTGTTCCATAATTTTGCTATATTTCAAAAGATAAATAACTATTTTTCCCCTGAATTGTTCCTAACTTTGTAAAATGACTGAAGCCAGCCATCAACTTACTGAGTTCCTCTTTCACATCCTCCAGTTCTGTCTGCAGAGTGCTCTCCTCTTCTTTCCTCTTTTTCAGTTCTTTTCTCAGCCTGTCGGCCAAAGTTTGCTGCTCTTCTAGTTTTTCCTGTAGCACGATAAAACATTAACCATATGGTTCAATTCTAAACCTTTATTAATGGACTTTCAAAGACGTTGGGAGACATCATTTTAATAGATCTTCTTTGATGCAGTTGTTTACACAAGACAAATCACAAGGATGGAGAACGATCTAAAACAAAAACTCACAGAGATCTCCTTGGTGTGTTCATTGATCAGCTTTTGAATGTTCTTCTCCTGGGAAGTTTCCTGAGCGTGGATCTGGACATTTTCCTGGGCTTGATTGACCATGTCTGCCCTTAGGTCACTCAAGGCCTTGCTTAGGGCCTAAAATTAAAAAAAAATTCGTATCATTACTGTGTAGAAAAGGGCTTCTTATGATTTTCAATAGTCACAAAATAAAAGTTGTTAAAGAAAATCTTTTACATTGGTGCTGGGGAAAAATGTACACATCAGTTACAGCTCTGGACCCGACAATAGACATGTTGCAAGAGATAAAACCACAGAATTTCCCTAATTCATGAATTAAGACTTTGAACTTTGCCATCCTTAAAGCGGCATGACTCTGTGATTTAATAGAATCTCACTTAAAAGTACATTGTTATATAAATAATAATTACTGAAGTCAAAGAAAAGTTTCCTGCACCCTGAACTTTAAAAAACAATATCATTTAAACATAAAGTTTAGGTAACAGTCGCTAATAAAACCACCATGAAATGGATCTAGCAGAACTTAACCTGATGTTTACCTAACAGATCTTTACCTGATGTTTATCTAGCAGATCTTTAGCTGATGTTCATCTAGCCGGTCTTTTACCTGATGTTTATCTAGCCGGTCTTTTACCTGATGTTTATCTAGCCGGTCTTTTACCTGATGTTTATCTAGCAGGTCTTTACCTGATGTTTATCTAGACGGTCTTTTACCTGATGTTTATCTAGACGGTCTTTTACCTGATGTTTATCTAGACGGTCTTTTACCTGATGTTTATCTAGACGGTCTTTTACCTGATGTTTATCTAGCAGGTCTTTACCTGATGTTGCTTTTCCTTCAGTGCCAACTGGTTCTTCAATCTCTCCACCATGTTCTTCATTGTGGCAGATGGCCCTCTCTGGTGAGATTCTTTGAGCACCTCTATTTCTTCCTGCATCAGCTTCACCTCTTTCCGGAGCTCCTGGTTCTCTCGTGAGACAACGTCAATCTCGTTTTCTTTCTTACCCAGAAGTTGACTTTGCTGCTCTGCCAGTCTGTCAGAGGTGTCATGATAAAATTGGGTTGCAGTGACAATTTTGTGGGTTTAAGTGGCAATAACATGCATTTTTCATTACAACGTTGTGGGCTTCAGAGGTAATATTGTGTATTTTAGTGAAAATTGTGTGGTTCAAATATTGTGAGTTTTATTTTAGCTTTTTCGGCTGGTGAAAAGAACACACTTCAAAGAGTGAACTAACCATAGTGCCGGGTTCCCTCACTTATCACAAAGTATTTTTAAAGAAATGTAATTGAAAGAGTGGGTGTTAAAACAATTATTACCCGGGTGAAATATGACCACTGCGTTGTTTAGACAGTGATTATTGATTCGGTAATATTTAAAAATAGCAATGTTCAGATTTCCCTTTTTAAATTATACATTCAAGGAGCTAATAACCATTTTTTCTAAATCCATTCAATAGAACTTTATATTCTAAAACTAGTCAGTAAAACTTTCTATTCCAAATCCAGTCAGGAAAACTTTCTAATCCAAATCCAGTCAGGAAAACTTTCTAATCCAAATCCAGTCTGTAAAACTTTCTATTCCAAATCCAGTCAGTAAAACTTTCTATTCATAAAATAACCATTGACTTATTCAAATCATATCTAAGTAACATTCCAGTTAAGCTTTGCTGTACAAATTTGATAGAGATTTTTTTTTAAAAATGTCTTTACAGAGATGAGGTTAATACCTGTTTGTTTCAGATTTGACATTCTTGTTCAAGACAGACAGACTGGCCTGCAACTTGAGGTACTCGGCTTCCTTCTGTTTTATCTTGTCGTGTAGAGCAGCAATTGTGTTCTCTTGTTCAGCGACCGTGTCTTCCAGCTCATTCAATCTGTCCAGCTGACATTTTCAAACAAAAACAATTATTTTTACCATACTGAATGTGATGCTTCTATGGTTGGTTTACTGGACACGGCTAACCACAAACAACTGACCAGCCAGTAGGAACACTGTGATCAAAACTAGCAGTGTTGAGAGGACATATGAACAGTGTCTAATATTAAATATGGTTCCAAAATTTTAACACTCTTCAATCAAAATGCATCCACATGTATCACAGCCACAAAGGGCATATATATGTACCACCATCCATAAAGGGCATATACATGTACCACAGCCACAAAAGGCATATACCTATATCACAGCTACAAAGGACATATACATGTACCACCATCCACAAAGGGCATATATATGTACCACCATCCACAAAGGGCATATACATGTACCACAGCCACAAAAGGCATATACCTATATCACAGCTACAAAGGACATATACATGTACCACCAGCCACAAAGGGCATATACATGTACCAACAACCACAAAGGGCATATTCATGTACCACAGCCATATTAGGCATATAGATATACCACAGCTGTAAAGAGCATATACATGTACAACCAGCCACAAAGGGCATATAGATATACCACAGCTGTAAAGAGCATATACATGTACCACCAGCCACAAAGGGCATATACGTATACCACAGCTAAAAAGGACATATACACGTACTACAGTCACAAAGGGTATATACATGTACCACCAGCCACAAAGGGCGAATACATGTACCATCGCCAGAAAGGGCATATACATGTACCACCAGTCACAAGGGCTTATACATATACCACAGCTAAAAAGGGCATATACATGTACCATCAGCCACAAAGGGCATATACATGTACCAACAGCCACAAAGGGCATATACATATACCACCAGTCACAAAGGGCAAACACATGTACAACCAGTCACAAAGGGCATACAGACATTATTATTACAGAATAAAGTACACCCAACAAAATAAAGACAAATGACACATTACAAAAACATTTTTAAAAGTGATACTCGCAAAAATTCATAGAGAGCTTGTTAAGATATCTCATTTTGAATCTTTATAAATGATTATATTTTATATTTTAAGTTAATATCTTTTATGTATTCATGGTGTATAGTTAAAGAAATGTCAATGTAAAAAATAAGATTCCATCACTTTCTTTATGTACCTGTTGAGCAGTGACTGTCTTTGTTGCCGATTGTTTGTTAATGAGCTCACGGGCAGCATCCTTGAACTTGCTGAAGGCCAGGTCGGTGTTGACATGAATCTTGTGCTGCATGGCCCTCAGCTCCTCCTCATGCCTCCTGTTCATGTCCACCATGTCCTCTCGTCCTTGCTTCAGCAAGTGCATATACTTGGCAATGGTCTCGTCTTTTTGGTTGATTCGTTGCTGTGGATCAAACATTTTTACCGTCACTGGGAAGCTCTAACAAATTAAACTACACTTAGACATTTTATTTCCAAATATTTTAAGTTTTTTAAATCTGATGCTATAATTTGGAGATCATTCTAATCTGGTGCTTGGAAAATCAAACATTTCTTTTGTGATTTTATGAAAACTTAATATCTAAAATTATTCAAATATTTCTTGAATTCTAATTCTAGCGTGAACTCATGTACCATTTTTCCTAAAACAGGTCATAGACACTGGAGAGCCCCATTCGGAAATAGAATTTAAAGATTGCTGACAAGCGAACTCACCTGTAGACTGTGGACAGTGCTCTGAGCAATCTTCAGAGCTTGTTGGCTCTCGTAGTCCAGTCCGTTGGTCTCGGCTTTCTTAATGGCCTGGGTCACCTTGGCTTGGGCCTTGACGATGATGTCATCTCTGTCCGCTGTTGCTGGCATGCGTAGCCTCAACTCAGATATCAGTTTGTCCCTTTCTATGACACCACGCTCAGAGTCACGCAGTTGTTTTTCAAGTTCTTGATTTCTCTAAAATATAGCAATAATTTCATTCGTTGTTAGCTTGTCAACCTTTTCATGAAATTTCTTACAAGATTTCCGTTTATTGCAATCATTAAATTATGAAACTCAAATACATATTCTAAAATTTTTAAAGGTTGCATGAAATTTAAAAATAACGGCAATTAAGTTTCCACATACGTAAAACAAAAATCCTTTTAACTCTACACCTTATATAAGAATTTCAATTTGCACCAAGAAATATATAATCATCTAGTATTTTGGTAATTTAAAAGAATGAATAAGTTGCACAATTTCAAAAGTCTTTTCCAATTTTAATAAACTTGAAGCTTTGCTAGAAGTAACATTGTTGTATTCATCCTGATTACAATGAAAGAAAGAAGATTAGAGGGCCAAATAAGCGGCCAAAAAATAGCATAATGTGTGCCTACTGATTTCAGAGACTTGTTCTCAGCCTGCGTGTCTAGAATGATCTTGACGTTGCCCTTGATGGTTGAAATTGCCTGTTCCAGTTGGTTGGCGACAGGCAGCTTGGCGTTGGGCAGTGAACCGATGGCCTGTTCAAACTGTGGACAAATGTTCACACTGTTACTAAGAACTTGTTTCTTTTACATGTTTGTGTCTCTGACATAAAGCTAAATGTCACATTAGTTGAATATTATGTCTGATTAGGAGACTTAATGAGAATAATCATCTCTAAACAAAATAGAAGCAAACACTCAGCATACGGTACTTCTAAAAAAAACTCTTGGCAATAGAATAAATAAATGAAACATCACTTGACAGGAGGATGTGAAGATGTAAAAAAACTTACTTTAGATGCAGCCCCAGCAATCTCTGCTGTGTGTTTCTCCATGGTGAGTATGGTTCTCTCTAGTTCTGTTTCTCTCAGCTCCCATCTCATCTGCTTCTCCTCGTAATCCTGGTGGTAATAAATCCAATCAAAGATGAAATAGGGAGGCCCGGTGGCGTATTCACATTTACCAATCAATGAGTTGAAAAAAAAACAACATAGTAAGACTGGGTAAAAAAACAACACATCAATGTCACAACAAACCTTGATCATTCTGACGTTGTCTGCCTCCAGTTCAGAGATGGTCACTTCATGGGATGTTATGATCTCCTCTAGATACTTGACCTATGTAATTCAGAGAACAGAGAGAGGGGAAAAAAAGGCTTTTAATTTTAGTTTCTGACATCACTGCAGCAAATATGGGAAATAAAAAAAATGTGTGCACCATTTCAAACAGTAAAAAATAAATAAATAATGACATGCATTGTAATTAAAAATAATTAAATAATTTTAAACATAATAAAAAGATGAAAATGATTAGTAAAATTAAAGAATAATTGCAATTTCGCATCAAATCTACCAAGGCAAATATGACAGAGCAACACACATAACAACTTTCAAATATGTCATGACCCAGGTAAAACATTAGCAAAATAAATCACATTATCTGACCTAATTTTACAAAGTCTCAAGACAAGACCTAAGATCACCAACAAATTTGGCACATTCTGACTTAACATATGATTATTTGTTAAGACAAGGTTTTCCTACCTACTTAAGACTTAAATTTTCCCACCCACTAAAGACTTATATTTTCCCACCCACTAAAGACTTATATTTTCCCACCCACTAAAGACTTAAATTTTCCCACCCACTAAAGACTTACATTTTTACACCCACTAAAGATCTTATATTTTCAGAGCCACTCAAGACGTGTACATTACCTTCTGCAGCAGCTTGGCACTTGTTCTCCGCTGCTTCAGCTCATCCAAGCGGATCCCATCAATCTTGGAATGCCACTCGGCCACCTTCTGGGCCCCCCTCCCATCTTTTAGTGTTTCTATCAGTTCCTGGAGACTTGTCTGCTGTAGTGACAGAGCCGCCAGTTTGTCCTCCATCTCCTCCTTGTTGTCACGCGTCTAACAAGGGGAGACAATACAGAGAACTTAATCAAACTGTGAACCATGTCACATAATCTGTACATGAATCTCATCATCAATCCGGCCTAGGATTGCAAAAAAACACAAATTGACCACTAAAGTCCCGTTATTTGCTCCGAAAAGGAAGAAAGGTTGAGAAAGAATTAACTTTTTGGTTGGCTAGTTACATGGTAAGTAAGTTTAGAATCATAAGATATACTTAATTTTTAACTTATTAAATCTTGTCTTGTTTTAAAGTTAATTAATTGAAATATTTAAATGTACTTCAGCAGGAGTTTTTCTTCGTAATAAAAATATTTGATGGATTGGAAATTAAAAAAAAAAATATTTCTTTTAAATGTGAACTTCCATAGGCTTCCAAATATGTAATTAAAAAAAAAAATTACATCTTGAAATCTCTATTAGTATATTCATCACTACTCAATTCATTGAATGGTTTTATTATCCTCTACTCTGTAGGGCATGGTTGGCCAACCCCGGGGCTGTATACGGCCTGCCTTGTCAAATACTTTGGTGTGGGAATGCCTTAATGATCCCAAATAAACTTATTTCTTTTTCATTCAATAGACAAATTAAATCTATTTTAAAACAGGTGAGTGAGAGGAAAGATAAAATGATTTCAAATTAGTTAAGTTTTTAATTTTTTTTGTTTTGTTTAGCATTTCATTGTGAGTATTTAGAATTGATAAACATTTCTATACAGCATTTAGTGAATGTTAACTTTAATATTATAATATAAAGTATAACAAAATCCGGCCTGTGAAAGATTGACTTGCTCAAAGTGCCCCGAAAAGCCTTTTGGGTTGGCCAGCCCTGCAGTGAGTGTAATGCATAACATCACTCATTTTGAAAAAAAACAATTTAAAAAAAAAAATATTTTCTGTGGCTTTAAAAGCTATATTTAGAAATTTGAAACATCTTTTGTTTATATAAATATGAAAATAGCAATAGCTGGGATTGGACAGATTAAAAAAAAAATTTTGTGGTATAATTATACATTGGTCATTATTTGGTGTTGGGAGCCACACTTTGACTAAGTGGTTGTTTACAAGATATTGTCAGCAGCTTGTAGTGAGTTAAAATTTTTATCCTGGTAGTTCATGAATTTAACCTTTGATCTTGGTAGTTCATGGGTTAAACTTGTAGCCCATTAATTTGTTTTAAATAATTAAAAATTCAGGTGATATGTAGCTAATTTGAATTCCTTATTTTAAAACAATACCTTTTAAGGTTATACTTGTGGAGTGGCTTGACAAATTAAAATTCGGTGGCTCTTGTATGACTATAATAAGAAAATTCCTGGATTGGCCCATATATTTAGTACAAAAGACTGATTTTAAAAAAGTACCTCTCTGAGTTCTTTTTCCAGTTTGGATTTGTCATGTTGTAACTGAATCATGTTTCTTGAAAACTTTTCTTGTTTGGACAAAGGCACAGCTCCAGCAAACTGGATACGGAGTTCCTGAAAATATTTATTTCATTCAAATAACTCAACTGAAATTATGATGTTATTGTTATATGGCAGAAAAAAATATTTATGATACCCAATAGAGTAAAGAACTCAAAATGGACAAATAGCATACATTGTGAGCTATAAGTTAATCTGGTCCCAGAAAGAGATTATATAGAAATATGTAATATATCTAGGAAGAGATGTTGTAATGAAGTATCTAACCAACACTTGAGTACCATGTAAGTTATGGTTCCTTCTCCTTCACATCTACTTATTACAAGTTATGATTCATCAAAAAGGCCTCTGGTCCTACCTGCAGTGACCTTCTGAGGTATCTTGCTTTACCCTGGGCCTCCTGTCTGGTGTGGTATATGGTTTGCTCCTTGTCGTCCACTCTCTGCTCCATCCTGAGGATCTGAGCCTCTAGCTTTGTCACCTTCTTCTGGGCTTCTTCCAGGCGTTTCACAGCCGAGCCCTCGCTGACTTGGAGCTGTACAATGTGGCGATGCAGCTTGCCTTTAGAGCAAAATTATAATGTGTAAATAAACAATTAGAAATCTATTTTTTCTGTATAAAATTAATATATCTACTGTACATATATATATATATATAGGAAAAGAAAAAGGTTAATACCTGTAGATGAGGTGTGCAAGTTAAGTACGGTGGGTCAGGGGGGATGGGATGCCATAAATATGGTGGGTCAGTGGGGATGAAATGTCATAGATATGGTGGGTCAGGGGGATGGGATGCCATAAATATGGTGGGTCAAGGGGGATGGGATGCCATAGATATGGTGGGTCAGGGGGGATGAAATCTCATAGATATGATGGGTCAGGGGGGATGGGATGCCATAAATATGGTGGGTCAGGGGGGATGGGATGCCATAGATATGGTGGGTCAGGGGGGATGGGATGCCATAGATATAGTGGGTCAGGGGGGATGGAATGCCATAGATATGGTGGGTCAGGGGGGATGGGATGCCATAGATATGGTGGGTAAGGGGGGATGGAATGCCATAAATAAGAAACAAATCTGGAAAAAACCTTATCAAAGAACAAAAAACCATTTAAGAAAAGCAATTAAAAAAACAGAACAAAACAAACCCCAAACTTGTAACAGTCAATGTCTCACTAGATGTGCTTTAACACACGAACTGTGGTCGGCCGAAAAAATTGGCAAACTTTCTCGTTCTGTACTGTGGCGGCAGAAAACAATCGGCCGATAAAAAAGCCGGTCCGATAGTAACTTCCAATCCAATATTTAAACGGAATTATAGCCACTTCCTTTTATTAATAATTAAATCATCTTCCGGTTCAAGCTGTTTCGTGATAACTTGAAAATATATACCTTTTAATCAGAGTTTTATATCGCTGTTTTTTTAAAAGCTAAAAAGGTTGAAGCCATGGCTGGGCCTTCAGTGCAAGAACTAATAGAAATATGTTTGAAAGCTTTTTAGGAGAGGTTTTAAGTGATATTGATGATGATTTTAACATTCCCCATGCTGATATCAGTTCAGATTATTCTTCTCATGAATTTTATACTAGTCTTAGTGATACTGAAGTAAGCCTATTGAGGCTACTGTTAGACTTCGAGCCCAGCCCAGAGGTTGGGCAATGACTGACTGAATTTTAGTCCCAGAATCTACAGATTATAGTTCAGAACTAATAAATTTTATAGCTAAACAACCCAAATCAGTTCCACAGTTCCTTTTTAAATGTTTACTAGTCAATAATAACTATTTTTCCTGAGATTTTGTATTTTGTACTTGGTTTTAGCAGTGGTCCCAGTTTCTTATATAAATGACCTAAAATTACTAAAATTGCTTTCACAGGTTTCATTGCAATCAAAACCTTAACAAACTAAATGTTTTATGAAAGATAAATAAATTGGCTACAACATTTAGATTCGTGTTTTAAGTATATCTATAAAAATTAATGATGTCATGAGCACTTGAAAGCAAGACATTTTGTCGATTTTTTTTTTTCTTGAGAACTCCAAGGTCAAGGACACTGAGAAATTTTTTTTTACTGGGTGGGCAATATGGCCAACTTCATCCTCATCCATTTACCTTTCTAAAAATATATACTTATAGGGGTCTTGTATCAATATTTCTATGTCATTTAATGCAATTTCAAATGACACTCAAAACGCTCTGAAAAGCTCCACACCACAGAATGATGCAAACCACAGTTCGTGGGTTAAAGAACAATACAATAATAGCAAAATAACAACAAAAATAACAAAAAGCTGTCCATGTTGTAAGGATACCAAAGCAACAATCATAGACCTGTCCACGCAGTAATAATATCAAAGCAACAAACCTACCAATAATAGTTTTCTCATCACTCTGGACTTGAAAGTCCAAAAGCTGCTGCCGTAAAGACTGATACTCCTTCTCCCGGGCAATGTGCTGTGTCTCCAGGGTTCTCACCTGGGTGCCTGCTATTTCTGACATTTCCTGGAGTTTTTAAGTTGTAATAATCAGCTTAAGTGTTTATCTTTTAAATATTCATGAGATGAAATTCACTTGAACAATTTTATGTTCATCTCTTTACATAGTTACATAGTGTTTCAGATGGTCAAGAATGACTTGTGTTTAATCAACATATGTTACGCTCCCCCCAATTTGTATGCAAGGTGGTTGGTTGAACAGTGCAGAGTAACTCAATTTAAATAAGCATTTGTTGAGACACAATTATATTAACTCAAATATCAGACAGTCAGAATGAAATGAAATTTTACAATAAAAAAAATATAATACAGAAAATCTGAATAAAATGTCCTTATTTACTTTGTTTTTTTACTTATTCTTATTCGTTTCCATTTTTAATAGAACAATAGAATTTTTTTTAAAATTGGTAAAAAATAGTAAATTAATAGTGGAACAAGATATGTTTAAGCTTGAGAAAAAGACAGAACAATTAAAAGGATGTCTCGGCTTAATGCCTTTTTCAGCAGTCAATACAAAACATGAAATAACAACTTATTTGAAATTTAAAACTTAATTTTTCCCAGATCACAATGCAGCTCTCTCAGTCTCTGTAGGGAAACAAATGCCAATAACAGTATTTTGGAAAGATGCAGCAGGTCTACATATTTTAGTCAGGTTACCTTCAACTTTGATATCTCTTGTTTAAGGTTCAGCTCATTTTCCTCAAGAACAGAAATTCTTTTCCTGTCTGCATCACTGATACTTTTAGTCACAGAGTCTGAGGAGTTGAGCATTGAACAATTAATGTCATCTCAACAAGACAACAGAGATTTTATTATTCAAACTTCAAACAACAATTTAATAATACATGAAAATGTGGTGAATACTAACTTACTGCTTAATTCATCCCTTAGATCTCTTTCGATCTTCTGCATTTCAAGATTCATTTTGGTCACCTGTGAAAAAAAAATTGCATCCGGTTAAATAAATGAGCATTGAATACAGGAATTAATTTGGAATTTTCGTGTTTTCCGTTACTGAGAAAAAAAAATAATTAAAAAAAACATCAAGTTCAAAGCTGTTGAGTGCTTTTGATGGGTTCAAGTTTCAGAAAGGTAGAGAGTGGAGAAATATGTTAAGAAAAGAGCCCCATAAAAGCTTGCCATAATAGAAATTTCTCTAAAATGTTACTGTAGAGTATTGTGGGATACTTCACATTTAAAAAAAAGATAAGATGATGCTGAAGGATTGATGCAAAGATATTTTGGGATGCATCAGTTTTTTTCTTAATTAATTTTGTTATGATATGTTCACACACCTCGGCAAATTTTTCCTCCAACTCTTTGTTTCTGCTCTCTAGGTCATGTAAGATCTGCCTCTGCTGCTGGTACATGTGAGTAGAGTGCTCTGCCCTTTGCCTCTCATTCAGCTCCTTCATTTCCAACATTGTGATTTTCTTGGAAATGGAAATAATGTCTCCATCAGTCACAGTCACATCAGAACCAGATGTTACACCTGAATAAAAAAAAAAAAATCAGTAAAATTAATTTCCCTGTGACATAATGCCTGTTCACATAATCCAACAAATTGTTGACCCACTAGCAAAATATTTAATTTTTATTGGGTTAATTTAATTTTGAAAAAAAAAAATGCAAATTTAAATTATGCACCTCAAAGGATGATAACTAATTCCAACTTGTCTAAAGAAAGAGAAGAACAGATCAGGTTTTGGATACTGACCTCGTCTATGTAACTCTTCCATGGCTGCCTCAAAGGCATGCAGCTTTTCTTTCTCCATTTCTAGAGTTTTCTTTAACACTTCATTGTCCTCTGTTAGTTGTTTCACCTCAGACTGGAAAATATGACATTAGCCAATTAATTTTATGATTCAACATTGAACCATCCGCTTGAGGGCTTTTTTAAAAGAAAAAAAAATTGTAATTAAAATTTACTTAAATGCTGCAAAGGACTTTTATTATGAATATCAAATTATATATCAAATAATCCAGTAATATATCAAATAATATATCAAATATATCAAATGATTATATCAAACTGTCTATTTCAAATAAAAGAAATAAGTATGCACAGAATGATTGTCAAATGTTTGAGAAAAAATCAATATGAACACAACAAAAACAGATCATTATCTTCTGTCTTTGATTCATGATAGCCGCACAGTATGAAATTAGGCGCCCAATGATTGACAGTGTTTAAAATAACTCCTATGTTAAAGAGTAAATGAAACTGTGTCCCTTGCGTTGGGCAGAAATTACTCAAGTACATTCATGACAAAAATGACAGATGAAATGAACGTCATTAAACTGGACTACCTCCAGTCCTTCCAGTGCTTCAGCTTTTGAGACCAGCGTGTTTCCCTTCTCTAACATGTCCCTGTATTTCTCTGTCAGGTTGTGGTACTGTTTGTTTACTTTTTCTAGGTCAGCTGAGGGTACGGAATCCTCCAAGGCCTTTTGAAGGGCGGCAATCTTAAATGCTGCCATGTCCTGAAAAAATAAGCATAATGAATGACAAAACAAATGATAATAAGTTTAGCATTTGATTACCTTTGCTGATAAAAGTAATTTGAATATGCAAATCTATAAAAGTATATAGAATGGGTGAAAGAGTGCAAAAACAGTTTTATGTGAAACTAATCACTGCATTCCATTATAAAATATGGCCCTGTCATAAGGTGCTAAGCTTCCAATATGTCTTACATGCATTCAGGAGGGACTTGTGGAGAATATGTTTGAATGTAAAAAAAACTTGTTTTCTCTGAACGCTAAAACATATTAAAAAAATAAAAATATGTATCCTGACTTACATCTATGATAAGTTTTACCTTCTATCCTGGCCTACCATTATGGCAAACTTTACCTTGTATCGCTGGAGGTAACCAATCCTTTCTGACACTGCAGTTTCCATCTGGCCAATTTCATTACGTTGTCGATCCACTTCCTAGAAAATCAAATTAGTGTAAAGTTATACATCTCAATTTTTTAAACACACAAGAACCATCAAGACAGATCTGACTTTTCACCACTTTAATTCCAATTTCACTCAATGTACTTTATTCTTAGACATTTGAGTGCAGCTGTATGAACACAATGTACAAGATATAAATTCTTTGATGACTTCAGTAAAAGTTAGACTCAAATTACTCAAGTGAGGACTTTCTTTGACGGAAGTGACACAAACCTATTTGGAGAACTGTATGTAAAAATTCCAATATTATTTCCTCTCTAATTTTTGTATCAAACAATCTCTAAGTAAACTACAATAATCAAGAAAATAAAATAAAGAGTTTGGTGACTGATACTTCTGTGCCTGTTTCTTTAATTGGAAAATGTGCAATTGTATAAAATAATATAAAATTGTCAATTTTTTTGAACAACATCAACAAACTGAAATCAGAGCTCACCCTTCTGAGCTGTGTTTCAATTTCTTCCATGGTTGTGAATCGACGCGTAAGAGCCTTCTCATTGACTCTGAGCACAGTGATGCGACGTGTCATCTCTGACAGTCTCCTTCTCACTTCCACATCGTCACAGCCCAGAGTTTCAACCAGTCTCTGAAAACAGGGATTGTCAATGAGATCGTTTATTAATGAAACTTTAAACAACACTTGAAGGCAGGAGATGAGTTTTAATCAAACTCAAAAAACGTTTTTACAAATATTTTTGATAGCTTAACTGAAGGTGTCACATACATCTGATGTATTCACATTTGAGAAATGAAAAATAAAGAAAAAAGAAGGAAAATGAATTTAAAACAAAATGAACTGACGATCTCAAAAGCATGGCAGGGTGGATTTTCATCTATCGACACCAACTGCTTGTGATCAGAATAATCAGATATTAAACTAACTATTGTGCAATTCTTTTTAATAAGTGAAAAATGAGCCTTAATAAATTGCAATGTTTGTAGACCAGGTAAATATTTGGTTAGATATTTTATTTCCAAACATATAAAACAACTGATTAAAATAAAAATTGGTTCATTTATTTCAAATTTAGATGGATTTCAATTTCAGTAAATAATTAACACAACTATTTGTCTCAAAAAACATAAGAGGCTGCCCCAAAGAAGCCAGGGGCTTAAAATAATTATTCATTGCAATTCTTATAAAATAATTTATTCTTTTTTAAAACATTTATCACATTATTTTTCAAGTCTTCTCGGTAGTCAGGTTTGATTGATATGCAACAAAACAGTCTAGATGAGGAACCTAGCTATTCAGTAGAAGCTTTATTATGATTATACTGTAAAATCTCTATTCTCAAGCCAAATACTAACATCAAATTCTTGAATTCGAACCATGTCCTCCTCTCTCTGACCCTGTAATTCTTTCAGCTTCTTGCTGTTCTTCTCCACGTCCTCTTGCCATGCCTAAAAATGCGTGAATTTAAATAATTTTAAAATAATATATATATATATATATTATTTTTACAAATAAGAGAACAAAAATCTAATAAAAGGATAACCAGGTACCAAAAGGAACAAATAATACAATAAAATGTATGGCCATGCACAGCGAGATCATAACATAAACTGTTCCTCACCGTCTTATCCCTGAGATACTCCTGGTATAACAAGCCCTGCTGGTGACGGAGAACTGCATACTTCCTCTTAAAGTTCTCAAATGCTGTCTCCGTTTTCTTCAAAACTATTTCTCTTTGAGATAACTCCTTTACAAGCATTGGTGAAATAAAAAAAAAAAAATGGATTTCTTACTATAACTGAAACAAAATTAATTTCTATAAAATATTGAAGGTTCTAAATCAAAGTAAAATCCAAAGTACATTTAGTCAAGGCAAGTGACTTTAAAAGAAAGAGAAATGATTTCCAAATGGTTTGGTATCAAAAGATTGACAAATGAAGCACTGTAACCATTAAGGGGCACCCCAAGAGTTACCAATGCCAGTAAAATTTATTCAGTTATGTTTTTATTTTCTTTTAAACTGACAGAGATTTACTCTTAATTACACTACTGGGACATTGTACCTGCAGGGTAATGATCAGATGTTCATTGAGCTGAGCAATCACTTCCGAGCTGGATGGCGCCATGCCCTCTGGTAGCTTCATTAAATGGAACATCCCAGTGCCAGACTCATTCAGCATAAACTGATCTTTTTCTAGCCTCTCAATCTGTTGGCAAGAAACAGTCAACAACATTAGGTTCACTTGAGTTAAATTAGTCAATGAAAAAAAAACAACCTGTAGACATTGAATTATTTTTCAATGTTTAACTTTCATTGCTCAACATTGCTGTCAGTTAGAAAGATAATTTTAAAAAATCTAATATTTAGATGCATTATATTTTGACTTCTTGTTCAAATATTTGTAAAATGGGGCAGTTACAAAACAACATCCTAGGTCAGATTACTAAGCTCACTCTTTCAAAGGCTTTGTCCCTCTCTAGGGCAGTTTTGGTGACCTCGACCCTGATCTCACGTAGTGTGTTCCTCAGCTCTTCATTTCTTCCTTTGAGCACATCCACTTGTTCTTTCAGGAAGTAGGTTGTGTCGTAGTTGCCTAAAACTTTCTTTGCTTCAATAGCCTGTGTGGTCAAATCAGATTTCATTCATTGGTAACAAGATTGAAGAATGGAGTGAAAACTTGAGCAGCTTGCACAATTAAATATAACATAATTTAATATAAGTTTCAAAATGATATTAAATTATAAATAATTTTTTTTAGAGTAAAGTTGAGTTCCTAATTTCTCGCAATGGAGCTTGATATAAAAAACTGGATGAACTAAGACAGAAAAAGATAAACACTCACGGCCAACATTCTTTCAATAGCCGGGAACTGCATGGCTACCGATGCATCAGGATCACCTATAAAAAAGTGTGAAGACATTAAGTCAACAGAGTAGCTAATGACATACAAATGTTACTAGATTTCTTTTGTTCACTAATAACTTCAATAATTTCAGTGACTATTCACAAGGCTTTCCATGAAATGAATGGTTACAAATCTAGTTAACTTATGATCTATTTTAATTTTATGAATGTAACAAAAATTATTTTTGAGAATTTCAAAAGCTTTAATAAAGTCAAAGAACTATGAATATGCTCACCTTGACCCTGACCCTCCAATTTCCCATTCTGAAGGGCTTGCATCACTTCTTTAAATCCTGCTTCCAGGCCTTCGTTATCTTTATTGAGCTGTTGATTTTGGGCACGCAGCTCTGCTACTTGCATCTCCATCTTGCTCAGTTCTGCAATGTTTTCTTTGAAGTCCTTATCCCATTCTTTGCCCTGTGTTAAATGATTGGAAATGGTAAATATTTGTTTGACTGAACAAATAGACTTGCCATGATCCACAATGTACATGAAACATTTTTATATCTATACATTTTGTATTTATTGTCTGCCTGAACTTTTATACTAGTATTAAAAATATATTGTAATGGTCATCATGTGGCTATATATAGACCTCAATGATTGATGACAAGTATGATTCAGAGACACAATCTAGAAATAAGCTTTTTCAGTGATTTTGAAAGACAGGTTTAACAATCAGGTCTTAAAGACAAATGTTAAATAGTTTATCCAGTAGCAATCAGTTAAAGAAATAACTAAGTCTATTTACAAAAAAAATAGCATTAAAATTAAATGAAGATGAAAAAGAAATCTCATTATAACAATTCGTTTATTATGCAAACCAACATTTTAATTCAATATAATTACTCAGACTAGCTCAATATTTGAAATTTTGCCAGGTTGAAAACGTACCCGTATCATGCTTTCTTCTTTCTGCACCTGTTGTCTGATGATGGAAGCTGCTGACTGCTGTTCATCCTGGACACGTCGCTTGACCTTGAGAGTTTCAGTGTAGTCTTGTACTGCCAACATGTCTTCTGCTGTCAGGCCAAGAGCAACGGCCCTGAATGCAGAAGGATTCTTGAGTTACAAAATTTTGTTTTGAAAAGCAAGTTGCATGGAATGGTTTATGATCTTTAAATTATGTAAAGAATGATTTTAAAATTTATTCAAGTTAAATCTGTTTAACCTAAACTTTGTGTGAGCTTTAGACAGGATTGATACATTTGGTAGAATAAATCAAGATATTTTAGGTTAAAGCTGAAATTAAATCAAAGTCCTTTCTAATCATTTTTTTCTTTCATGATAGAAATATTTTTACTTTAAATTAAATCTAACACTATTGATATTGGGATATAGGATAATTGTTTAAATTATGATCTTATGTATAGTTATCAAATTTTTAATAAAATTTGCCATTCTTACAGAAAAGTTGTTTATAAATTATAAAAAAAATCTTATAAATGCAAAATAAAAATTACTTATTTTTTTCTTCTTAAGTCTTTAAAAAAAAAAAACAGAAAAAAAAACAACCCAAGTTTGTTAAACATTAACCTCATTGAAAAAATAATTGGCATGAAAATAAACAAAAAATGATTGAGAAGAAATGCCAAAAACTGTTTCATACTCCAGCAGACAATAAATCAACTTCTTACTCATTGTGTTCCTGGATACTGGAAACAAGATCTTGCTTTATAAAAACTAAATATGAACCAGATATAAATAGCCAGAACAAACTCAGACTTGGTAACAAAAAGAAGTTGAAATTATTTTTTAAGATCTCAAATGTTTTTCAAAATCTGTTACTTGTAAGAAACGTTACATTTGAACTAAAAGTAATCTAAATCTAGACAGCACAATGTAAGCCTGTACAATAATATAGATTTGATCACCTACACACCTTTGACCTAGTTGCTGTGCCAGCTTGCGGATCTTTTTCTTGTCCTCAATTCTTTCTTCTTCCAACATTTCAATCTGGTGAACAAAACAAACAATCCCTTACTATATTATAACTTATATACACTAACCATCAAAGGTATGCTATAAATCACCTTACTTTGAAATTGGGATATCTTAGCTTGTACTAAACTAACCTTCATTGTTATACTATGGATTCCCTTATTGTGAAATTGAGATATCTTTTCTTGTGCTAACTGCCAGTGCCTATATCCCCCTTCACTTGGGGGGGGGGGGGGGGGGACGACGACGACACAACTCATATAACCTTGCTTACCTCCCTCTGGAGTGTAAAGTTCAAGGCCTTCATCTCTTCTTGTCTTATGGCCTTGTTTTTCCTGAAAGCTGTTAAATCTAATGGTTCCTTGGGATCCATGCCGAGCTTGTACCTGAGCTCTTCATTCTCATCCAACAGTTCATTGATCTTCAGCTCAGCCTTGTTGATGTACTGTGTCAGCTCCTCTATTTCTCTGAATGATGACAAGACAGATGCCAGTTACGTAATGTGATGTGAGAAATGTGATGCTACGTTGTTTTTTTTTTGTTCTTCATCATTTATATTCAATTATGTCTTAAATAAAACTACATGCCAAATTATTTTATTTGTTTAGCTTAAACTCAGACCAAAATTATTATTGGAAAATTGTGTATTTAAATAGAGACTTCTAATGTAAAAGTTAGAAAAAACCATTAGGGCATTATGGAGATGTTTAGGTAGCAGAGTTAATTAAAACAAACTCACCTCTCTCGGATTTTAACTTGATTCTTTCCCTCTTTTATCTCAGCAACAGCCTCTGACAGGCCATATTCGCCCTGAAAAATAAACAATAATTTCTTTAGAAATATGTTTACTAATTACATTAAAATGAAAGCAACCTCTATAATACTGAATTTTATTGAAAGGGTTTTTCTGCAAAGAAAAAAAAAAGGGGGAATAAATACATAAATATGAACTTATTAAAGAATTAACGTTTTTATTTTATCTAAAATATTTTTTCTCTAAAATGTACTTTTGTTTTAGAAGGGAAACTCAACTTACTGCTTCATACTGTCTCATTCTCTCCAACAATTCACTCAATTCTTTGTCTTTGCTTCTGCAGTCCTCATCAGCCTGTGAAATATAAACAAGACCACTTTTTTACAAAATTTTGTAGCTTAACAATTTCTTCTATAATGTAAAAATGCACATTCTTTTAGAAGAATATGTTCCCTCATATTGTAAGCTTATTTTTTAGTGGTAATTTAATTTTGTATTTCAATGAAGTCAATTACAAGAGTAACATAGTTTTAAAATATATTTATTTAGTCTTACTTTTTTAATATCATCTTCAGCTTGCTTGATGCGCTCTCTAAATATTTTGTTCTCATTTTGCAGCTCACGTAGTTTGTTCTGGAGTCTGTCACCTTGAGCGGATCCAGCTGTTGAAAGAAATTTACTAACACTGTTAGAACAGAACACTTTAGTTGAGATCACTTTTAATTTTTATTTAAAACACATAAATATCTATTTAAGCCTAGTTAGTGTGTCACAATAAAAAGCCCCTACCTCGATGTAGTTCACTGTTGAGGTCTTCAATAATGGCTGCATTTTTCTCCATTTCAGTTGTATACAGGTCGACCTTCTCTGTCAATTCTGCTATTTGTTTGTCTTTGTCTTTCAAAACCTTTTTGATACATAACAAAAGAAGGTTTTATGCTCAAATGAATTAAGAACATAAAAACAGCTGCCAAAAAATATTTACTAGCTCTCAATGCTTAAGACAACTCATTGTATTTTGAAAAAAATATAACTGACTTATTTTTATTAACTTTTTTTTAAGCCATCTTTTAATAATAAAAAATCCAATCCATGGATTTTTGTTGTGCATCTTTCATTTTTACCTCACTAAGGGCTGACACTGATGCCTTGTCAGAATCCATGTTGGCTGCGATAAGTTGACTTTTCATTCTAAAGATCTGTTCTTGTAGATCATTTATTTGAAGGTCTTTCTCTTGCATTATTTCCTTAAATTTAGATAATACACCAGTTGGAGTTAAATTAATTTTTGAGTATTGCAGGGTAAAAAAATCTGTACAAATACAAATTATAATCTAATCTTTACAAGAATCTCCTGATATTCATACTAAAAAAAGAAAATTAATTTCTAAGTTATAAACATAAAGCTGCACTTAACATTTTGTTCTGGTTATAGTTTTGAAAATATTACAAATCATGACAAGAAAGTTCATGCAAACTTAGAAACTGTTTCTGATCATCTGACATTTTTATTCTTTCAATATAATTGAATACAGTCATTGTCATATTTCTCTATGACGTTATTAGTTTATTGATATTATTGAATAATGTCACATCTCCTTACCTGCCACTCATCCACTTTCTGGTTCACTGCTACCATGATGGCATCATCTGCTTCCCCTTTTGATTGAACCTGCTCTGTCAAGTCCTGGACTTGATTCTTGAGGATTTCATTTTCTTCTCTCAGTGCGTCAGTTACTGCATCACTTTGTTGGAGGACATTCTTCAAAGGACATCATTTTAGAATATAAACACTTTACACAACAATCATTTTTAATTAATTTTTGTAAATCTTTGTCTGGTTCAATAATCGCTATTTCAGCATTCAGTAAATTTTAAATGTCTATGTTAACTAAATGTTAAAATACTCGATACAATATTTAAATATTTTTAAAAACTGTAAATAATTAAGCGCTTGTAATTTATTTTTTTATTTTTTTTAAATAGAAAAATAATCTCATATATTCACAACGTTACAAGTTTAATCTCTATCAATTAAGGCCAAGTTTTAAATAAAGCTTCACCTTCAGTTTCAGATAATCTTCTGATGTGCGATCCATCTGTGCTATGGCTTCCTCTAAGTTCCTCTGGAGGTCTTCACATCTTTTCACAAGAAGGTCATTGGCATCTGAGACATTCTGTAAATTTGATCATAAAATGGCATACTGGAAGGCAACGTAGGGTTGATTGAGATGCAACCTAATAAATCTTCTTCAAATACATGTCTTTCACATGTGTAATCAATGAATATCAATGAATATATTTTTAATTCATTGATTTAAAGAAAATTATATGAATTAAATTCTTTTTTATTAATAAAACCATGTGTCATTACTCTCGTTGCCACAACAAACCTGAAGTTCTTCCATCGTCTCTGCAAGTTCTCTATTTTTCTTGGCCACTTTTTCTTTAAACTCAGCATCTTCACCTCGCCTAGAAACAATGCTGTCCCTCTGTGTTTGCATCTGCATTTTGTAGTCACTGATGTCTTGACGCATTTGATCATTCTAGAAATAATTTTTTTTTAAAAGATAGTAAATGACAAATAAATATTTCCTGTTGCAAAAAAAATAAAATAAAAAAAAATAAGGTTATATTGGTACAGTAAAAATAAAGTAAAGTATTTAAATTAAAAACTGTATGTGTCATTAAACTGGCTGAAATCTTAGTAGAAAAAACTGATGCAAGAAGGAGATCAGAAATTCCTCATCACATTAAATTCATCTGAAGTTTATTTAAAAAAAAAAAAATTACAATAAATAATATGCTAATTAGCTGCTTACCTCTTCTCTCGTCTCCTTCAACTCCTTTTCTAGTTGGTTAATTCTCTCACTGTACTGCAAACAGAGTGTTATAATTATAATAAAATTAAAATTAATGACATAATTTTATTATTCTCTATAAAATTCTATTTTTATTAATGTATCTATTTATATTAAAAAGTATAATAAGGTGAGAGACAGCAATCAGGTTAGCAAAAGAAAAAGGAAATATGTTGCACAAGGTAGAGGGAAACCCTAGAAAAGGATGCAAAAGTTAAAATACTACATATAAGCTAAGTTTTTATTTTTTTATTTGTTACTCTTTGTTTGTACCGTTAGCTGAAATATTTAATTTTTTTTGCACCCTTTTTTTTTCTTCACATAGTCCTACTTTTTTCATATTTTTCGTTTAAGGAAAAATTCAATATCAGAAGGGTTTTGACCATGAGTATAATAATTTTAGCTTGCCTTTTCTGCAGCCCTTTTTTCACCATTGAGATCCCTATTCAAGTCCTTGACTTCTTGCTTTAAGTGATCGTTGTTTTCCTCCAGCTCTCGTAGCTGATCTCTGAGATATCTTGTGTCTCTTGAGCCACCACTCTCTGGTCCATATTTCTGAAGCAGTAATAAGGAATGAAATTTTTATTCATGCCCATCAGCAATTTTTTTACAACTAAACAAATACAGATTAAGAACTATCATAAGTTAAGTATTTGCACTAATTAAAAATATTTCTTGAGTTATGGAGTTTCGTCCACTTGGAGTAAGTGCTTACCTGAAGTTCTTCCTTCTGTTTTTCAATTTTCTCGATCTCTTTTTTCAATTCTTGCTCTGAAAGGAAAATTTAATTATAATTTTTTTGTTGAAAATTTGTAAGATATATTTGTTATTAGAAATTAAAATTTATACTTTATACAGTTGTAAAAAACTTTTTTTATATCTCGTAAATTATAATTAAATAATAAAACCAGCTTTACACTTTATATTGTTTACAAAAATTTTAATTGAGTTAGCTACCTTTCTTTAAGGCTTTCTTTGCCTCCAATTCAGCCTCAGTCATTGCATCCTCCAGTAATTGGTTTCTGTTGACCATCACTGCTTGACAAACTTCAAACAACTTTTTAAGCTTGGCATTGTCAAAATCATCCCCTGCCTTACCCTAAAAATTATTAAACAATTAGACATTTTTTAATGGCATTATTTATTTTTAAAAATTATGATATAACCCATAGTATGCATAAACAGGAAAATGAACTTTAAAATCCAAAGTACTTACATCTTTGAGTTTTTCAAACAGCTCATCTGCTTGCTCCTCTGACAAAGAGCTCACAGATACAGCCTCAATGGCTGACCAACTAAGTGGTGCCATTTTGGCTTAGCCTCTTTAACACAGTTCTCCTCTCAAGAGCTAAAAATAATAATAATAAAAAAAAAAAGATAATATGCAATAAAAATATACCAAAATATTTAAATCATACATGCCAACTTTCCAGAGTTTGAAACCCGGGATATGAAATAACTAAAGCCATGTACAAAAATTTAAAAGCCCTGTAGAAAAAAGTTAAATGCTAAATTAATAACTGTTAATAATTTTTTTATCAAAATATAATCAGTTATCCTTTTTTGTTTACAAACAAGAAACTGTTATACATCTTAGGTTTGTATTGGATATGAATCATAACAACAGGTGACAGTATTAATTTTACACTGAAATATGAATGTGATTGTGCCTTTACTGAATCTGATTTCTCTAAAAGTTTTTATTGAAATAGCTTATTTTCTTAAAATAAGTAGGCCTAAACCACACATTTTTTTTAACAAAGTGTCGACATGTCCGGCGACTGGATGAATAATTCTCAAGATATTCGTTAGGCGACCAGGTCACATGACCGCCATAACAAAGTTGGGTGAAATGTCTGTTTGTCAGCATTGTCATGTGACCACTAATAGTCAATCATTAGACCTATAGACAATAGTCATGATAGAGAAAGATGGAATAGGTTAATTTTATTTTGATTCTTTAGCAGCATGTGAGTTAATTTATCAGTTGGAACTTTTGTTACTTTTAATTTTAACTCAAAGTCAAAGTAATATTCAGCTTTAAGCTAAATATCAGTTTATGAATTCTTAAAATGTGTTTGATGTTATTGTGAAGAAGAGGTGAGTAAATATACAATAGCCACTTTAAGGGGGCAATGAGTTGAATGATCAATGAGTATGAGGGTTAACAATCATTACAAAGTAAAGTGTTTACTTTACTTAAAACTTAAATTAAATTAGCAAAGTAAAATTTTAATTGTTTTGTTTTGAACCAACATGGATTAGGTACCTCTCATAGAATATATTAAATTTTGTTAGAGCTACATTGATTTAAAAATAACAAAGTCAAATTAAAACTGTCTTTATGCGGCTATTGGACAAACAAAAGTTGAAGTCACAGGTCCTGACTTGAAATTAGAAGATGGTCTCCTGTACTGTAGTGAGTAGTGTACTTTAATTTTTTTTTTTGGTCATAAGAAAGATGCTTGCTAAGTTAACGCACAAAATACTTTAATTCCCGAGAGACCAAAATTTTCATTATATTAAATAAGATCCGTTAGTTCTTTATTATTTCTTACATCAGGATCAGTTTTGTTTTTGTTTACAAGGTACTGAGTTGAATTAAGAAACGTCCGCCATGATAACTAAGGTATTCAAGATAATAATGACTTTTCCCCAAAAGAGCTCTAACTAAAAAATAAGCAGTACTCAGGTGAACAAAGAAGATGAAATAATAAACACACCACAATCGGGAATAAATTAAAAAAAAAAAATTTTTTAGAAGATTTCGAATAATTGGGTCGATTATAAATATGATCCCACTGTATTCTTAAACCTTTACTTTAATCAAAATATTAGTTGCACAACTTACGATTACTCCCCCACCCAAATTCCAAAAACCCCAAAATCTGCCAAATAGCATGAAGTCATTTATTAAGGGCTTCTAAGTTCAAGGATGAGAGCTATTTTTATACTTTTCCTTATATTGAGGAGTCCAATTGCAAACCCTGCTAAGTCACTTTAGATTGATTTTAAGGAAAACACATTTTTCTAAAACACAATGATGCGCTAATCCTTGGATTCTGGTTTTTGTTCCAGTTGTAAGATTAGCTGCAAATGATATATTTTTTAAAATAAAATATAGTTAAATGGGCATTTTTGCATTTATAATGCATTATAAAGTTATTACTTAGCAGGTTTTGAAAATGGTTTACATACTTAGCAGCTTTTGAAAGAGGTTTGAAATTCTTATGAGGATTTGAAAATGGTCTAAATCACTTAGGAAGTTTGACAGCCCACAACAAATTAAAAAGATATGGAGGGGGGTGCTCTTTTACATTTTCTCTATAGGTACCCGGGTACCTATGGTCGCCAATGACGATTCGCACCCGGAGTGGCTCCGTACATATTAAATGGCTTCGGAGCCGAGTGTGATAACAATAATAGTATGAGAATTCTTTTTTAAAATGTTTTTTCTCCTAGTTATTTCATTGATTCATAGTTTTATTATTTTTAAGTTGTTTTTTTTATTTTGCTTTGTTAATTTCTCTTAGCACCGGTAGATTTTTTTTCTTTCTTATTTTCTTTTTTTAGTTTAAGCCATTTTCGTAGATCATTTTTTTTTTTAAAATCTAGTAATGAAGATGATTTAAGATACATTTATTGTTTTCATTTGAATTTTAGAAAAGTAATAATATTAATTTAATTATTAAAATTAAATCCTTTATTTAAGATTATTTATGTGTATTGTTTAAGTTAAAAGATTTAATCACACAGTACTTTATGAATTATTTAGGTATTCTAAATAATGAAAATTTCATTCATATTGAATTAATTTCAACTATTCCTCTAGAGAGCTTGGCTTAGTCAGAACAAAACCACCAATTTTAAACCTTTTGCTTGGCACTGGGAGTCATACATGCGGACACTGACTGTTTTTCCTGATATCTCGAATCTCCTTTCAACAACTTTTCTCATTTGACTTGACCTAATTCACAAGGTAGTTGCAATGAACATCTTAAAGTTAAAGGATGCCATTGTATAAAGTATGAGAAAGAGACTTATTTTTATAGGACCAGTCTTATTTTTTTTTTTACCATATCTTTCTACTGGGTCTAACACACCGGTACATAATTTAATTAAAAAAAACAACCCTTAACTGACGTGAGAAAATGTTTGTTTGGTTGTTAGTTATTTGAGTTGTGTACTCAAGTAATCCATAAAATAAATTAGGGGCAAATATGGAGTAGGCAGCCAATAAACTCATTCAATTAGGTCACATCATTCCTTTGCCATTTGTCTCCTTTTACTTTCTCACCTTCCTTGTTGGTACCCGTACAGTTAACTATTGTTTGTACAGTATCATTTCTTCATTGAAGTACAGACGTAATGATTGAAAGGGAGCAAATATATGTGATCTGTGAAGGGAGTTTGGTTTCAAGGCAACTAAGTCATACCACATTGAAAATAAAATACTGATAACCTAAATAAATAGACCCATTGAAAAAAATATAGTACATACAAACCATACACAAACAGAAAGACAAAAATCCACTAAAGTTTTTTTTTTTTAATTTGTTGTGACTTTTATTGCAAAAAATTAAACATTTAATACCAATTTTGACTTTATGCAAAATGAATAAAGACAAATTTGTATTGCCTTGTATTGTAACTTATTGTACTGTATTGTAAATGATACTTGGCATACACATTAAGAATAACATTGAAAAAAAGTTTAAAGAATATTATTACACAGCAGTTATTGGAAGTGTTACAAATTGCATGTATGTGGGGGTCACATAAATATTTGAGAACTCTTCAGGGGTAGCAAATGTAAAAATGTTATAAAACTTTCTAGTTGGATATATATATATATATATATATATAAAAAGCCTCTTGAATTTCATAAAGAATATCAATGAAAAGAAGCATGCAATGTTTGAAGGCTGTAGCTAGAATACTTTTCCTCTCGATTCATTTGGCGGTCCTAAAAAATCCAGAAAATGCAAAATTGAGAAACATGAATTTTTTAAAAATAAAATTGTTTTTTTTAAGAGGCTGCATGAATGATATAGGATGCATACACCATGTACATATACCATTCATGAATTAAAAAACGATTAGAAAACTAAGACAGAAAGATAGAAAAAAAAAATTAACTCACAAACCTAATAAATAAAATACATAAATACAAAAATTCGGAAAAATTTTCCTATGAGATATTTGTTTAAAAACCATCCATCATCATTAAGCAGAGAATTTCAATATAGATAAGCATGCAAAGTTTCAATTATGTAGTTCCAAAACTATTCCTCCTGATTCATCAATTGACGTCCGAAAAAAATAATAAATGAAAATGCTATATCGATAAAAGCTGAAAAAGACACTGACAAATGCTTATAAAAAAAAATTAAAGGTTACTTGAACAAGATAGGATGCATACATCATGAACACATTCCACTCGTTAATTAAAAAAATTTTTTAGTACATAGATATAAGTGATAGAATATTAATGAATGCATTTTCCCAATAACCCACTAGCCTCGAGCCTAATAAAAATAATAAGATCATAAAAACTTCGGAATTTTGTTTATAAGACATGTAATAAAAACATCAATCATTATGTAGAGAATATAATAGAAAAAACATTGCAAATTTTGAAGCATGTGGTAATAATACTTTTCCTCATAATACATTTGATGTCAGAGATAAATGGAAAATCCTAAGTGGACCCCTTTAAAAAGAGAAGAAAATTCAATTAAGCAATATTAGAAATATAGGAGTCAAATAAAATTTAAAGCATATCAATGTGATATTAACAGGCAAAGCTAAAAAAATAAATATTTTAAAAAAATATTTTACAAAACTAGTTTCAGCAAGGCATATTCACACATTCACAATAGATAAGAATTTTCTAGACATATTTAAAATTTTTAAACATTATCGTAGAATATGTTAATTATTAAAAAATAATAAATCAATTGATTTAAGTTAAGAAACAAAAATTGGCCCAAGAAATATAATAAAAATGGGTATTTATTTACAAAGTTGCTATTCGGACCCGGTCCGAGAAGTTAGAGGTTGGGATTAAAAATTTTAGGTTGTAAGACAAAATTTGGTATCAAATGAAAGATAATTGAATGGACTATATGTTTGTAAACTTAATTCTTCAGTGATTAGAAAACTAAGACAGAAAGATAGAAAAAAAAAATTAACTCACAAACCTAATAAATAAAATACATAAATACAAAAATTCGGAAAAATTTTCCTATGAGATATTTGTTTAAAAACCATCCATCATCATTAAGCAGAGAATTTCAATATAGATAAGCATGCAAAGTTTCAATTATGTAGTTCCAAAACTATTCCTCCTGATTCATCAATTGACGTCCGAAAAAAAAAAAAAATGAAAATGCTATATCGATAAAAGCTGAAAAAGGCACTGACAAATGCTTATTAAAAAAAAATTAAAGGTTACTTGAACAAGATAGGATGCATACATCATGAACACATTCCACTCGTTAATTAAAAAAATTTTTTAGTACATAGATATAAGTGATAGAATATTAATGAATGCATTTTCCCAATAACCCACTAGCCTCGAGCCTAATAAAAATAATAAGATCATAAAAACTTCGGAATTTTGTTTATAAGACATGTAATAAAAACATCAATCATTATGTAGAGAATATAATAGAAAAAACATTGCAAATTTTGAAGCATGTGGTAATAATACTTTTCCTCATAATACATTTGATGTCAGAGATAAATGGAAAATCCTAAGTGGACCCCTTTAAAAAGAGAAGAAAATTCAATTAAGCAATATTAGAAATATAGGAGTCAAATAAAATTTAAAGCATATCAATGTGATATTAACAGGCAAAGCTAAAAAAATAAATATTTTAAAAAAATATTTTACAAAACTAGTTTCAGCAAGGCATATTCACACATTCACAATAGATAAGAATTTTCTAGACATATTTAAAATTTTTAAACATTATCGTAGAATATGTTAATTATTAAAAAATAATAAATCAATTGATTTAAGTTAAGAAACAAAAATTGGCCCAAGAAATATAATAAAAATGGGTATTTATTTACAAAGTTGCTATTCGGACCCGGTCCGAGAAGTTAGAGGTTGGGATTAAAAATTTTAGGTTGTAAGACAAAATTTGGTATCAAATGAAAGATAATTGAATGGACTATATGTTTGTAAACTTAATTCTTCAGTTTAAGTAAAGGAACGTTAACTAAAATAATCTACCACAAATGACATC